CGTCAGAACAGCTTGAAACAGCATTTGGTTACACCTCAGCCCTGCAAACAGAAAACTGTTTTACAAGGCAGAAAGTGATTTCTCCCTGAAAGTAGTTGTGACACCAGTCAGCATTTCCAGACCAGCCATTTATAGCAGACATCTTAATGGCTGCTTATTTGTAACACCAGCTCTTTAGACTGTGATCATAAAGGAAAACAGACTTTTAATGATTAAAAATATGCACAAGCTCAACACCAATTCATCACAGCTGAGCTTAAAGGCTCACTCTTCAAATCTTTAGAACAATTCCTGGAGACAAGGTCATTTAAGTATGTAAGTTTCAGCCAACACATCCTAGGGGATGCCTCTCCCTACCTGCCCACGCAGCCCGGCAGCTCAGTCAAGCCTCTGCAGCTCAGGCACTAAGATGCCAATACTCCACTTTGCTGCAAGGGTTCAGCAGAAAAAATGTAGTAAACACCTTTTACCAAAGAAGGGACTTCACCTAAGAGCATTGTTGTTTTCAGTTGTCCGATGCTGCGGTCACAGGCTCAGGAAAGTAGTTTGTCACTGTTTTAAAATTCACTAGAGAAAAAAAGATATCTGAGAAGTTTAGGTTCGGAGAGTTCCTAGTTTAATGCTTAACACAATGTTTGATTCCCCTTGTCATTCAGGTCTTTGTCATATACAGAGCAGATACTGTATCACTGAAGTCTGAAGTTTCATTCCTGGCTTCACTCACAGCAGATTTGAGGCCCTGGATCATTCTTTAGTGGGATTTAAATACAACTACTAGGATTAGGATATATTTTTGTTTGAAAACAAGTAATTAAATAACTTTGGTTTCGTAAACTTCAAAAAAGGTATATAGAACTGTTTGTAGGGAATACATATTTACATTAATGTCAATGGAGGTCACAGGGACGAGATAATTATTTACTTCTCTTAAATCCACCAAGAACAAAACACATCACCTTAGAAACCTGGGGGTGTGGGGGTCCATCTGTCATCTTTGCGTAAAGGCCAAGACACCTTTATTTACCTGTAACTTAAAGATATCAGCATAGGATTCTCACCCTTGAGCTTCAACAAATTGAGCTACACTTGACAAAATACCTCCAACATTTCTTGTCTTTGAAGAAGCAGTAACAGGCTGCCCACCATTGCATCCAGCCCACAGCAAGCTGCACTGGGCAATATTTTGCAGCATGTCAGCTCCCAAATAGGATAGCACTACAGCTGCTGACATTGAATTGGAAAAATAATCACTTTCTTCCCCATCTATGTCCATTCTCCTTGCTTCTCTGCCCTTTCCAAAAAGATCCAAGCCTCTACCAACGCCCTCTCCCCTGCAACCAAGCAAAACCAAAAAACACAAGCAAACAAACTGACATAATCTCCTTCTCAAAATTAATTTAGAGACACCCCTACCATGGCATTTTCATTCCTGGGGTGTCAGCAATGGGAGAGATGTCTCAGACCCTGGCGTTAGGGAACGCACATACGAAATATGTACCAGACAAGACAGGAAGAAGCCAATGCTGCATTTTCAGCTAATGCTGGAATAAAATAACCCCCAAATGACACCAGGCATCTGGAAGTTGTCTGCAGTATGCATGGACAAACTGTTTTCAGAATTAGACAAAATCAAATTAAAAAATGAAGTAAAACAAAAAACCTCTAGAGACAATTAGAATAGAGGCAATAGATTCTGCATTACTGAAAGAATAAAGTCAGTTCATCCCTACAGACCAATTCCAAATCATGTTTTGCAACCATCTATTGAAATTCAAGGCCATCTGGCTGCACTGTGGGCCCTGAACCACATCATCTCACATCTTTGGGGTGCACTAAGCTGGATCCTGAAATTCAGTTTTTCTTCACACCGAAGATCTTTTTATAGGCTAGCTTAAAGGGTTATTTTCAGAAAGTTTCTCATGGAAGTAGGAAGGCAAAAGGTCACCTATACAAGGGACTTTAAACACTTCTCCATGCACATAAAAGTTTGGGCAATTTTTCAGCATGGATCAGATGCTAGTTCGCACACTGAACTCAGCCTGCGGAAATAAAAACTGCAAATCATGGTGGCTGATGTAATTTGAAAGCAAAGCTTCCTTTGATGCAGAGGAGAGTGTTTTTCCTGAGGGAATAAGGGGAAAAGGACAAACATGAAATGGAAAAACCCTACACCAACCACCAAAACAACACGCCAAAGTACCGGCAGACTCCATGTGCAGGCGTCAAATGGAAATTCCCCCATTTCAGCGCTTGAAATGTCAGTTTGTAATTCCTGAGCAAAGCCTACAGCAACACCCAGAACCCCCCAGACACAGCAATGAGCCCCTGACTAGGAAACAGCGAGAACAAGAGCTAGGCCTAAAAATACCCAGGCAGACTCAGCATTTCCAAAGGCTCCAAGAAAAGGAGACTGCACCAGAGTAAGAGTTCAGTTCAAATAGTAACACTGGATCAAAGTCACTCGAGTCAGGATTTTTAAAATAAATGATAAAGCCAAACAGTCATTAGGAACTGACAAAGGCTGAGAGTTGAAGTAGCTGCATCTGACCTGCACTGCACCAGGAGGGTGCTGGGAGAGGCACACATTCTCAGCCCCCAGTGCCCACAGAGCCATTCCCTGCCCTGCAGCAGGACACTGCTTATGCCTGCTCTTCTCCTGCCCCTGCTGATCTAAACCTGAAGCAGTGGAAGACCTACTGCTCCATTTCAATGTCAAAAACATTAAGCTGAAGAATTAAGAATTCAGTAGACAGCACTTTTAAAGCACCTTTTAAAGATAGTATTTAAAAAAATAAAATCCATAAAGGTCTTTTGTGAACAACACAAGAACAGAAAAACAAAGGAATATTTTAATCAGCATTTTCACACATTGAACATTTCTCTAAAATGCCAACATTTTAAATGAGAATCACGTCCCTGGCTGGATTTATTGCACCAGAAGAGTCGTCAAAGCTCGGTCATCCTACACATAGAAGCCTCCACAAAAGCGAATAGAACAGTGATTATTCAATACTGTCTAAACCAGACACTCTTTGTCCCAAAGTGCTATACTCAAATGCATATTTGAGTGAGAATAAAGTGTGCGGTAAAGCTAAAATAATGAAACCATAGTCTTGAGTGAAGATCTTTTCAGGAGTCTCTTATTCTCCTTATTTGCTTTTCCTTCTGAACCATTTTAAACTGACTCACCAGGAAATGGAGCACTGAATCAACTCCCTCCATCCCCACCAAAAGTCAAGACTAAAACAAATCAAGTTCTTTCAAATCAGTATTTTCTGCTCTCAAACAAACAGGGGGTTTAACAACAAATCCTTCTGAAGTTAGGGCAGATTTCACAAAGCTTTAAATTTCTCTCTGAGTGGGCTTCTGAACTGTTGTTGATGGTTATTATTAGTAGGCACAGAAATTCCCATTTTAATTAGAAACTTTATTTTGAAATACATTACACAGTTTACATGTGAAGTGCTTTCACTGTAAGATATTTCATAACATTGTGCTGAGCAAAATGGCTGACCGATTTCCTTGAAGCTCTTCCAGCTATGTTTTGTTTTTATTAAAACTACCTTACAGAACTAATATGCAACTTAGGCATTTGTATTCAGGGCCAATTACTACATTTACCTTAGGGAGAAAGTATATACTTAACTGTCCCAATTAACTATGTGTTTCAATCATGATGTTAAGCATTTGGCATAAGACTGAAAGAAACACGAATCCTAATTAAACTTGTATTCACCAAAGATTAAAAAAAAATTAATCTTCATGATCAAGCTACTTTTTTAATAAGGCACAGTCAGACAAGTATTTATAAAGACTGGCTACCAATTCAGTTTTACCTGCACAGCCTTCCTGCTGGTCTGTCAAAAGTAATCCAAAAGCTGTTTTCACTGTCTGCTGCTGAGACTTTTCAAGAACAAGGCAGAGCAATAAGGCAACTAAAAGAACAGACATGCAAAAGAGTTTGGCATTTGAGATGGATTCTGAACATCTGCAAAGTAGTTCATTTTGTAAATGGAGCATTCACCTGTTATTAAAATGGTGGCCAAATGGGATAAGGAACATAGAAGTGGTGCAAGCAGTGCCTGTTTGCAAAAGCGTATTTTAATAGGAGTAAACAAGAGGTCTGGTATGCTTTCAGGTGAAGACTTGGCATGCAGCAATTCCCACAACTTTCAAAGATAACCTAAATTGAATTCTGAAATCCCCCTCTGCCACTCAGAAGAGCTACATGTACCAAGAGGCTGCTTGACAGCAGGTGAAATATCAGGGAATGAAATCTCCATTTAGATAATGAGCCAGTACTGCCATCCTACTTTGCATTTCTCATTAGAACAAAAGGAAGTCTTCAGGAATGAGAACTCAAATAATTACATCATTATTTTGGCTGAAAGAAAGTTCAAGAACTCTTAAAATGTGATGATGTTTAAAGAACATGAAACAATTCTACCCACAGTCAAAGAATAAAGAATAAAAAATTTTAAAAAATGAAGAGAAGTCTTACCTTCCCCTCCTAATAAAATCTTTGAGGAATAATTGCTTGAGCTTAGCACTGTATGGTTTCTGTGACCTATGAATGCTTGATAGATACTCTAAAAACTATAATTTTCAAGCTGTTGTTTGTTTAAGTCATTTCAAATAAAAATACTGCATCTGTTTCACTTTAATAATCAAACTGAGCATAAAAATCATTAAAAGTGTATTTCTGATACAAATTTATATCATATACTAAAAGATACTATTTTATAGATAATTGTAAACCAAAAAGAATAGGAATATACAAAAGGTTTTTTAAATTCCTTTGCACAGCTGAACTCATAGTGCAGGTTTAAGATAAAAAAAAATCCATAAATGAAGTAGTCATAACAAATGTTGAATATAAAATACATTCTAAAGTATTTTACAGAATGGCTGAATTATCAAGCATAAGAACTGAGGATAAAGGATGTTTAATGACAAGCAGCCACATACAGAACACAAAGCAATAAGTTTAAATCAGACTATTTTGGTTTGTGTAGCCCTTTATTAGCAACTAAAATAGAAGATATCTGTTTGTACATCACGGGTAGTAACTGACTATACTGGAGTTTTATTATATTCTAATACAGGATCATTTATAAATGCGTTGTTTTCCTTTTTTTTCTTTTATTAAAAAGCTTCCACCCCTTTTTCAGTTTACAACTTGCAAAACTATTCTGAAAGCTGAGTACATGTGCACAGGTCTGCAAAGAGTGCAAATTTAGGATATGGTAAATGCTTTACATGTATTTGTAAGGACTGTCTGCCACCATGCCTTCATAGGCATCAGCTTTTTGGAGAAAAAAAAAAAAAAAAAATCACAAAATGTTTCAATAACAGCCTTCCTTCCATTGTCCTAAACAAGAAAGCATTTTTAAATGAGTCGAAACTAAGGAAGGACTACACCTACTAGAAAAGAAGAGAGTTCTATTAGTTTGAGGTTTCAGTACACCCAAAGACCAGGGACTGTATCTTTGTAAGGGCTAGGCTGGGACAGAGTGTGTGCAGGTGCCATTCCTGAGCATTCAGCAGTTCAGTGGACCATAAGTGCTCCAGCTGCATAACTCACTGAGCTGTCTTGCCAGTTTCGACACTGGCTTGACTGAGCATAATTCAAAAATGAAAAGCTCATATTCATTCCATTCTTCTGGAGCTCGTTGATAGCCTGAAGAGAGGAGGGAGGAAAAAAAAGCTGTTTAAAAAAGGTATCAGTGAAATTATGACATGTTCTAAACCTCAGTCCTCTCCCGTCCCCCCAGGGGTCCTTGCATCATCTCTTATAATAATGTAAGTACCTCCAAGTAATTTGTAGACCTAACTCATTTCTGTGCTGCTTCATTCATTGACGCTCCCCGCACTGCACTATGTACATCCACGCAGTTCTAAAAGGCAATACTAAACAACCTTTCAAAATAGATCCTTTAGAAACAATGTTTTCAGTTCTATAGGGAACTTACACAGAAACACAGATGTAACAGGAAAAAAAACCCAACACTATTAACACTTTTCAGGTTGTATTTCTTCTATTAAGGAAAAAGAATGTACCAAGATAATTTATTGAAGTGTGACAATTGGCAAAAGTGAATGAACAGAATTTAGCTCAGATTCACTGTAAAACTCATCATTATCTGAGGTTAAGAGTTGGATATTTTTGTAGGGTTGTCATAGTACTGACTTTTGCTACATGCATCTCCAATATTGATATTGCTTATAGAAACTTTTATAGACTCCGCTTTAAAAAGTTCCTCTATATGTTCTCCATATAGACTACATTTCCGGTGAATTAAGTTTTCCCTTTTAAAAATGTTAATATTACAGTAAAAATACAGTGAGATTCACTCAAGCAATAACAAATCTGCAGCACTTCGGCAGTGCTGTAAAGCAGCTGTGACCCAATTTAGACAACTAAGTACATCCAGGTTTATCTCTGCACTGCATCACCAGAGCAGAATACGGTAACTAGAAAGTACCAGTTAATCTGAATTCCAATTGCCACTAATTTATGAGTTAACAGTGCACTGCACCCATACTTACAAAGGCAATCTCTCATCGTATTTGCAAAACTCAAATACACTGCCAGACATCACAAGGCACTCACAATAGCTAGCTAATAGCAATACAGAAAAAATATATACATGTTTGTTAAGTACTGATTCAAAAAAGTAAGCATGTACTACTTCAGGGAAATGGATTTATTTGTTTGTTTCTTTATTTAGGACGAAGAGAAAGTGAATGATTGTATTTCACCAAAATTCAAAAGGAACATGGTACCTCATCTCCCATAGGGAATTGAAACCCCTCAGCCCTTGTAAGAGCTTACATTTGTCTATATGCAAGACATGGAAATTGGAGATCAAGTGGAGAACACTTAGAAAAAATAAATTTGTACAAGACTTGCCATTTTAGAACTAAGGAATACTCCAGCAATATTATGTTTAAAACAAATGTAAGCGTTTTGCTAAAAGCTAGATTTTTCAACAAATCAAAAGTTACTTACGTTTAATAATACACCAATAGGATGTCTTCCACATATTGTATTATGGTATTTCTTCAAGTAATTGCTAAAAGATACAGGATCTAGCTGCTCTATAATGCTCATACCCTGAAAAAGAATTGATAGCAATGATTACTTCACACATTCATGAGCAGGTGTTTATACATCACCTATTTATGACAACACAGAATACTTCAGGTGGAAAAAACCTCTACTTTGTATGAAGGGAATCTCAGCATATGAGCTCTAGCTTGTAGTCATCTTGTTGCCATCCCTTGCCAAACTAAAAGTGCAGGAGCTCTTCCAAAGCTGTCAATGATCCACAGATCTGTGAAGCTACCTTTGCAGTTGAAGCTCATGGTAAAAAAGCTCCTCCCACAGACTAGCCAATCCTCACCTCCGAGGGTGCCCTACTTCCATGGGATTTTGTACAGCAATATCCAGACAAATTCACTAAAAGGGCATAGCAGGAAGAAGTTTTGCCTCCATCTCTTCCTGTTAACAGAGCTCAGGGCTGAGCACTTGCCTGGGACTTCTGGATGTCCAAAAACCCTAGACAAATCATCAGTATACAAACATGCAATTCAAGCATGTAGCAAGTGTAACGTATCCTAGACGTATCAGGCATGCAAGGCAGTTGATCTGGGCACAGGTTGACCATCTTCTCAGTGCATAAAAAGCAGATCCAGAACATCTCTAAAGCACTAGAAAGTTAGTGCACAGCAGAAACGTAAGAGCCAGGAGATGATGCTTCCGCTTTACATGAGGCAGTGACATATATACATCCTTTTCTCCATCCACAGCGAGACCCATGATCCCATGGAGTCATACTATGAAAACCAGCACACGTACAGAAAACAAAACCTTCCACATATACAAACATTCACATTCTTAAAAGCAAAAAGACTCCTACAACTCCAGATACACCTACTCTTAACCCATCCCACTTTGAGCAGATCAAATACAATTAAAGTAGTTTAAAGCAAATCTAAATCAATTGTTGCCTGGATTTTATCATGGCTTTGCTACTTTCCCTGTATTAGACTCCATCCCCTGGTGTTTTTCCTTCCTCTGAAAACAATCAATTCCCTTCACCAGGTAAATGAGCTCCAGACACCGACTAATTCAGCAAGATGCATAGCTGTGCTTCTTACACATAGCTGATGGAACAGGAAAGTTTTCCTTACAGACCGGAAAAAAACATACACTTTGCATGGGAACAATTGGAGGTTGGTATCAGAAAGGGAGAGGATTTCTCCTAAGGTTTCTGCTACTGTCCCAGCCCCTTCCCCTGCTTTTGGGAAAGTGTGGGTGATTAAAGGAGAAATCATGATGCAGGAAGCAGTCAGTCTGTCTGAAGTCTCCACCTCAAGAGTGAAACCTCTTCAATACTCTGCAAGGGCGTTGGCTGATCTGGCAGATACGCTAATTATTCAGACTGGATCACAGTTTACAATGGAGGAGCTGGAGATTCCCCAGGAGAATCAGGGAGGATTAGAAAACAGCAACCATAACCACCACCTTTGTGTACTTTTAATCAAAAACAGACATAAGATGAATTAATAGAGAGATAAATTTTATGGAAAAATAAAACCAAACTATGCTGACCAATTGCTGGCAAGAGCTCAGTTCTTCCAGGGTCATAGAGAGGGTGTTTGGACCCCTGGCTGGTAATTACAGATGTAACTCCAGATCTACAGAATGTAAATGAGTGCCAAAAAAATAAAGGTAGCTATTCTCTAACTAGCAGTGATTACATAGATATAATTGTATTTCTGAAGTTTAAGCAGCATGTCTTTGAAACATCCATTTACTTGTAAATAGTACATGTCAATACACAGCTAAAGAAAGCAGAACCAAACTTGACTATATACTTAAGTGAAACTAACATGCATAAGGCACTTACTCAGATACTGAACAGCTCATAAGAATATATTTTATCCATTTGTAAACGCTTTCACAAGTTTTTAAAAAATGAAAATGGCTGCTCAATTGAGAGACTCATTTTATAGCTGTAAGTCACTGGAACTGGGCAGAGGCATTTGAGCATTTGTCTCAAATAAATGGACATGGATTCATCAGAATGCCTAGTAAGCTTATTTCAATGCACAGTTCAGCACTGAAAAACATTTAGAGCTATGCAGTTCATCCCAGCAAACGCTAACAGAGCTCCATACCTCACAGATTGGAGAAAATCCATAGGAAACTAGTATTAACACATATCCTATAAGCATTCAACTGTACTGAACTTCTCAACCTTTAGGATTTAAAAATTGTTGTGGCAGAGGAGCAAAGACTACCAGGCTTGTTTCTCAGTCTAAAATGGTGTTGAGGAACATAGGAAACATTTGTGTCAGGTTGCATTCTATTTTTCTAAAAAGCAGAAGTATGAAACTAATAATTTTCAGTATTCAGATTAACTCAGCCAGGCATGGTTTAGAACAGAGTTAAAATATATGACAAAACCCACATGATAAAAATGCAAACCATCAAACAGTTCTGCAGTTTATCACATGGTTATTATGGCACCACATAGAAATTGCATATTTCAGTTGACCAGACACTGTAAATGGCATCTACAATATCCTAGCACAGTGCACTTAATAATGTAACTGCTTTTAATCATATTAAATATAATTCCCTATGTGACCAAGTATCTACAAGCTTACAAAAAAAAGAAAAAAACCAAATCCCAACCAACAACACACAGGCTTATTTTATACTATACTCCAATAATCCTTTGGGTGGTCAAGTTTAAGTTTGCAATTAGTTGCTTCAGCAGCTTCTTCACACTTTAAAAATATGAACTAGTAGCACACTTACGGAAGTAGAAAAATCTTGGTCTTAGCACTAGCCAGTCCAACTATCTTTGCACATGCGAGTGACTCAGACTAGAAGATAAATAACCGACAGGAAAACTACTGGCTGGGCACAGCAGAGAGAGCAGGGAGCCGGGCACCCAGGCAGGGAGTTGTGGTCTTGCATTATGCCCAAGCTAAGAAGCCTTCCCAGGCTAGAGCACTGTGGAAGGTGCTAGCACACCACAGCAGCACTGCAGAAGCCATCAGAATTCAGCAGTTCATTACAGCCACCTGAGAAGCCACCCATGCTGCGCACAGCTCCTGCACAACAACTGCTGTCTGTTCCTGCACAGCTCTCCTCAGCGCCTGCATTATCCTCTCCCTTCAGCATTCAGTGTAACAGAATCCTCCTGTTGACTCAAGTGAGGCATAAAGTTTCATAAATAGATATAAAATGAGCAATCTGGCAGTGAAGATTGAAGCAAGCAGTCTGCATTTTCTGGCTAGCCACAATCAACAAATAATTACTCTTCAACGACATCTTACAGAATACTCCACCACTTTTATTTAAAAAGATGGTAGGTATCAGGTTATGATATACAAACAAATTATTGCACATCAGTTGCTCAATTATAACTCTTCATGTGAGGATTCCTCCCTAAGGTACCCCTGCTAACCCTGGGGCTGTTTATTCCTTTCACTGTCACTTCACAAGGCGCACTGTGGTACCCTTAGGGTATCAGCGGTCACATGAAGAGTTACCATGGAGAAACTGATGTCTGCCCAGCAATATTTACTCCTCTGTATTTTTTTCTGCTAGAGTCTAAGGCTTTAACTTAAAATTACTGCAAATAACATTTCTCAGAGCAGTTACCAGGTTAGTAAATCTTCAACGCCCAAAGCGTTTAGCATTGTTTAGGCACTAGCCAGGAAAATCATCATGCATCTCCACTTAAGGTCCAGTCTAATTTGTCCTTCCACAAGGGCATTTCTAAGGAAAAGTAATTTCATCTTAACTCAGAATATCTTCCTTCTTACAAAGTGCTCAGCTGACTGCTTTCCTAGTTAGGTCCAATAGAATTATTGGGCCAGTAATAGCAAAGGTTAAAACCTCTGACTGTTTTGTCTCTATCTTAATGCTATTTTCTCTGTGAAGAGGACCTAGTGGTTACAACACCACAAGTTTCTTTAGCATGCCAAATACATTAAAAAATTCAGTACTTATCTAAGAAAACAAGAAGTAGCTGAGTGGGGCATACAAAATTGAATAAACCCATTCCAGGAGAAATGTGACAGGGAGACCCTTGTGGCACTGTGGATGGCATCCCAAGTGTACCCACAATACTGCTAAATAGGAATTTCTGAAATTCACCAAAAGGAAGACCTGCTCTGTACAGAGTTTGAATACAGAGTCATGTGTTCACACATGGCATGATATAAACAGGCAAAAAATAACCACAGTATACTGCTACCACCATGTTTAGTTTTCCAGTTAAACTTAATATTGGAAAAAGTATTTTCATCATTATTAAGCAGTAGACATCATTTTCAATGTTACAAAAAACATAGTTTCCTTTTGGCTGAGTAACTACCAAAAGAAAGAGTTGGTGCAGCAAGTATTCACTAGAAGTAATTATATGCCAAAGTCCAGTCGTTCTACAAGCTTTCACCACAGAAATTAACACGGGGGAAACTAATGTTTGCTAATGCACCTTAATCTGCTCTCCTGCAAAAACACTCAGAGCTGCAAATTCTGGGACTCTGTAGAAAAACACTTGTCTTTCTAGAGAAACCTCTCAACTCACAACAAGAATTATTTAAAATGGGATAAATAGAATGAAGGCAAATTATTTACTGTTTCCATTCCAGCGATGAATAGTGGAAAAACAAAGAGGTTAATATGGATACACAAAGCAAAAGAACTCCAGAGATCTCTCCAGTGGATAGGAGTTATTCCTTCAAGACAAGGAAAAAAATTAACATGCCCTGAATAACAACAGTTCTCTCTTCTAACAGTTTTTACAGAAGTTACAGAAATGATCCAAAGCAGTTTTAAAACAAATTTTGAGGTTACATATTTCCAGAAGAATTACTTCTATTCTGTGCCTTAAGTATGGTCTTGAACATTAAACGCAATTTTTTTCATTTAAAAAGAAATCCTTGGCTCCTGTGATTGCAAAGAAAATGCAACATAATGGGTATCACGATCTTTATGTATTTAGCATTCCTTTCAGCCTTTTGCCAAATCCAGAATGAAGTAGGGTCTACTGCTTTTCCCCACCACCTACTACAGAGTAAGGGATGGGGAGGGGGAGACTATTCCCAAGAAAACCGTGACTTTCATTCTCCTGACCAGCACAATCCCCTAAGGCCTTTCCTCCTCAAAATGGATATTGCTGAAACTATTAGCATAATCACGATGCTATTTCCATATGCAGGTATCGTAGCTACCAAGCCTGAACTACCACAAATACTCGTTTCATAATTCTTATTGCTTGTTGAAAACATAAGAGGGTATGTGGACAGGAATTACATTACACTAGGGCATTTTAGGTAGGTGAGCATGCATTTGTTCTTGTAAATTAAGTTTACTAGATTATACCCGCATGTATTGTATTGCAGTCAGCAAAATGGAGGATACTAGCTAAAAACAACAGCTAAGTTCTTATTGTGGTAAACAAAGGAAAAGTACACATTCAATAGAATAGCTAATCTATAATATTTTGTTAGAGAAATTTCTAAAGTGTTCAAAGAAATGTAATGTACAGGAGAAATTTGTTAGTTAGTTCCACCAAATCTTAAAACTTACCATTTTATCTAGGTGCTCAATGGATCTATAAATTTCTCCTTGGGATTCATCATAGTAACTGTAACGGAACCTCTGACCTTGAAACAAAAATCACGTATAAAATAAAAAAGGGAAAAATTGTAGCTAAAACACTCCCTAGTACTTACTAAATAATTGAAATTATAATATTTGTAAAGTAGCAATCTTCATTTATTTTATACTTTTTAGCTCCACTGAGGAAATTCTAGGGCAATCATCGAAGTAGCAGCCCAGAACTAAAGTGAAAAATACATGATGGGCAGCTATATTCCTAAAGAAAAACCTACTATGTAGAACTGACACTGCAGTATCACTTATTAATTGCCTGTTATTGCCATGGAATCCAATTCTATAAATTAAAAAGTAAAGCAACATTTCATTTCGCTATCCCTCTTGGAGAGGTCAACCCTGGAATCAGGCTACATCTGCTTGCACAACAATACCCACAGTAAATGAAGGTTAAAAGAAAAAGGTCATGATAATTCAATGAACAGTTCTAGATGGTTCATTAGCCACAACAGAACCCAAGTCATTCTTACATACCTCCACCTATTTCACAATTCAAAGATGAGTAAAATATGCACTTAGTTACGTAAGTTGACCAAAGATGACAATGAAAAAATGTTGTGTAATATAAAACATATCTTTCTGAAGCAGTCCCTTTTCCAGCTGTTATCACACTTAATAGAAATATAAAGTGTTAAAGCAGGACAGAAGTCAAGGCTTCTGGAGTCTTTATAGCTCTGCCACCAAGATGAACTGGGATAGCTCTGGTGAATTGGCATATATACTCCATCTGCTATCTTACCCAGCCGTAAAACGTACAAAACTTATTTCCATCAGAGGAATTTTGCCATGTCCAGTGAATTTTTTGCTTATTAATTTTGCAAGTTGCTTTAGGTGCTTAAAAGAGGAGTAAAAAGAGCAAGAAACTTCAGACATTTATTTCATTGCAACAGTAAAGAGATGCATATAAACCCATACACCTTCACCATTTCTTTCCTCCACTACACTGAAAACACATTACCACATTAAGATTTTTCATCTATTGTTCCAGATTAAAAAGAGAAAAATCCTTTTTTAGCTTTACAAAGGCATTTAAGTTTCAAAGAGACATTTACCAGAAGTTAAAATGTTCAATGTTTGATAAAATACACTATTTGAAAAACACTACAAAACATTCATCGTACTGTTATAATGAAGAGATGTGAAACTTACCCCAATGGCAAAAGTCAGAAGAAACCACAAAGAGGTTACTAGGATCAGCTAGGTATTTACTGAAGAGTTTTCCAAATTCCTGCTCTTTTGACTCACTCAGTGCTCCGACCAACACAGGAATAATAGTAAACTCATCCTTATGGCTTATAAGCAAAAGAAAAGAGGTTGTAATCCAAGTAACATCTGAAGTTTTTTCAGGGCTTGCTAACTGAAATTGCAGAATGCTTTAAAAGGTCACTATTGAACTGAAGATACAGTTAATTTTGTAAGGTCATACTAGGAAGTTGTTTTAGAACCTGAAACTACTTCAGTTTCAGAAAACAAATCCCCTCCCCCCAGTATTTGTCTTTGATGCAAAGTAAAAACACCAGGCAAACAAAAAGAAAAGACACAATGAAACCAGCAATAAAGAAAGAATTAAATTCTCCCTGTATAGATGCTGCACACCTGTTGGGTAATTTTCCAACATATATGAAAATGCTCAAGATAGCACCCAGATATATACCAATATCCCAGGGAAAATTACAAACACTGTGGAAGAGAAGTTAAAAAAAAAAGATGATGGGGAAAATTGACAGAAAACACAAATTGACAAAAATTACCACCTTTAAAGAAAAATTATTCAAAGTACTCATCTGAAATGGAAGGTATAAACAGAACCCTGATTTCAAAATTAGTATTAAGGCTCCAAACAAACTTAAAATCCCACAGAAAACACCTATTAGTATTTGAACTTCTTTCAGAGATCCCTTCCAAAAATGAAGGAAAAAAAAAGAAATCAGATACTGAGAAAGATTCATGAAAGTATGTCTAATATTAACACTATTAAGTCAATATAAACTTGTTTGTAAGAGATGTTCCAATTTGCTCCACTCACAGTTTCTATTACAGCAACTAATCATAGTCTCTGACCCTTTCCTCCCCAAAATTTTTATTGGGGGAATGTGGGAATTATATACCACATAGGGTATTATATACCATAAAGGTTATTATTGCTTCCTACTGCACTTCACATGTAGTTCAAACATTTAATGCACATAATGCTTATTCTTGTAGAAGAAGTAATTAGCCCGAGTACCTTTCCATGGCTTTAGCAGTATAAGGCAAATGCATTTCAATACTGTGTTCATCTTCATCTGTCTGTAGGGACATACGCTCAAACATTCCAGTCTTCCACAACTCTCCATAAACTGAAATGAATTAAAAATTAATTTTTACTACTTTTTTTTTTTAAAAAAAAACACTCTAAAGCAAGGTACAGTGCCTCTTTATCAGAACAAGCTCAGTGTAACAAATTACTTGCCCCCAGGGGCTGCCATCATAAACCACTTGTTTTTAAATAAATTCAGGATTAAAACTACGTTCAAGTTATTAAGATACAAACATAATTGATTCAGTTTATAACATAAGTGTGTTAAATCAGTGACTTTGTTAATATATTGAGAAATATTTTAAGTTATGATACAAAATTTAAGTAACACAAATAAAACACATTTGGAAATATGCATGTATTTGCCCAGCCACTGAATTCTTATTTTCACAAACTACACCATCATATGTTTAAAAAAAAAAAATTTTAAATTGCTGATCAGCAATGTGGATGTGTTACTATTTAACATAATTTATTAACTGAAGCATGAAATCTAGAGACAGCAAAAACTGATTAAGTGATCCACATTTATAAGTTATCTTTTCTACTCTCAACTGCACTTGGTGGTATGCAGAGTCACCTCTACATTTTGAAAACTCTCCACGGGATGAAGACTTTGATGTAAGGCTGTGCCTCCTTCTCCATTCCATAAAGGAGTTCTACAGAAACTGAAACATTTGTTACCTAAGGAAATTTCTGCAGGCACTATGGAGAAAGCCTGAACTAGCTTGCTTAACCACAGTTATGACGAAATAGCAATACTTCTGTGCTAATCAGCCCTTCTGAAAAAGATATTGCATTATTTAGGTATACCTCAAAACACATGAAAGTCAAAATATCAAATTTATCTTCATCGCACCTTTACGCTTAGCCTGAAAGACCGGTATTTCATGGACTACCAGTTTTCAAGTTCTGTAGGTACTCTGCCAGTTAAAAAAAAAAGTCACATGCAATAATGCATCCAAATACAAGCAGCTTTTTGTTCCTCTATCATTCCTCTGTTAGAAATAAACTCAAACCAACTAAAGCACTATGTTTTTTTTCCAGACAGAACACTTCACAGAATAATGGTGCAGGTGTGTAGTGGGCTATAATTCAAATACAACATCTTTTAAAGGCATTACAAGTTGAGATCACTTTTAAAGATCACTTTGCCAAGAGGCGCACACTCGTAATGGAAAAGATAAGAAAAGACTGAGAATTCTTTACTCACAGAGCAAGAGAGACATTAAGGTTATAATATAGCAATGCCTGCAACCACCAGGATCTTTCAGAATTTAGCTTTCATTGCAGTAAGAACAGATTTATACTTGTCTGCCACTTAAAAATAATAAAGTGCCCAACAACAAGAGAGTCCTCAGCACTGCAGTTAATACTCAAGCATAAGCAATCTTCAAGATGTAAGCTTTATCATGCACTTACTCTTTTGGTCAATTCGGAGATCATACAGGGGTGTTCTGTAAATGTCCACACTGGAAAGTGCACATCGGGAAAGGGGCACGTGATGGGAAGGCCCAAGAATGAAAATTTTTCGTCTACAACAATTAACACAAAACCCCACAATTCAGACAACTGCAATTGTACAGAGACTTGGTTTAGATTAACAAGTTTAATAAAAATGTACAAAGTGATACTTTCTGGTGGTTACCAGAAAAATAGATTTTTACTCTGCTGTGTGTGAGACCACAGATCAATCCATGGCCTAGCCTTGCTCACTATCTCAGAAATGATCATGACATCAATTCCATAATGTTTCCCGTGACCTTGAACCTCTTAAGCAGGTTATATACTAGAGGGCACTCATCAGCTAGAAATCCGTCTGTCTGTCTGGAGGTTGAATGATGTGTTATAGCCCCTTAGAACAGATTTTTGGATTCTCTTCTTGGACCAAGGCAACCTTCAGTTACACACTACCTTCAACAACTACAGGTATGTGCCCTTGCATAAGGAATATGGATTCATTGTCTATTCAGAGTTTATAACTTATTTACTTGATTAGCCTTACTTCAGATTTCATCAAATTCAAATTTAAGTCATTCTCAAATGTTGTTTTTATCCAGCTGTTGCATCAACAACAGTGACTTGGACCTGCACATTCGTAGCTTTAGCTGATACAGCAAACTTTCACACATCATCATGATGTTATTTCATCAAGTCCTCAGTTCCTGGCTCTTGATTAGATGTTAAGGGTCTCCTGCCACAGGACTTAAAGAAAAGAAAAAAACCCAAAACCTATAGGAAATGCAACTTTTCAGATTCACGATCATATCATCTTGTTTCTGGCACTGAACTAAAGGAGTGGGACACAAAATTTTTTTTTTTTTCCCTTATGTGTGGAGTGCTATAGCAAGCTATACTAAAATCCTAAAGCTTCTTACAGAACTCAAAAACAAAATATCCAAACATGCAATACTTCAGCTGAAAGATGAATTCTAAACATCCCATGTGGTAAAATAGCAAATGATCTAGAAAGTCCAATCAATTCCACATCACTGAACCTGGGGAATGCAACTTGTTCTAGAAATTTTAGAGAAAGTAGTTATCTGTCACACCATAAGTTATCTTCACTTCATTTACAATAGTTTAGAAAGAATCAAAACCATTGTCTTTGGAGAGCATTACAACATGTTATCTCATAAGCAACAGATAGACATAGCCAGGTTTTATACTAACATTGCAAAAATACATACTTTGAGTAAATACTGGAGATGTTTTAAACACTTGTAATTTAAAAAAAACAAACATTGCAGTCAGCAAAACACATAAGAATTATATTCCTTTAACCTAGAATAACTGTATTCATATTTTGCAAGGCAGGCATAGACTACAGTAGTGTGTTAGGCTTTTTCCTTATTTTTTTTAAATTGTTGTGCTGTTAGAAACACTAGTCCATTTAAATTTATTACAACAAGTAACTTTCACTGACTTCAAATGTTATATACACACACTGGTCACTCTCCCCACAGCAGAAGAGAATCGTGGCAGCATTCAGCCCATAATCCTGCACTGAAAAACCAATGTAGAATCATGATCAAATATTTTAATATACGTAAAAACCAAACAAAACCTCCCAAAACAAAACTAAAAAAGAACAAAGTCACCCTGCAACCAGTAAAAAACACCCCAGCTTGGCCTTTTATAAAAGCAGTGGAACATCAAGAAATAAAGTAAATCAAATGTTATTGACTGCAAAAGGAACACCTTTAACCCCTCCCTTCTAAAAAGTTAGTTACCAACAAGTCTCAATAATTTTTTAAAATACTGCTTTACATTTTCAATTTCAACAACTACATTATTTTTTTCTTTTGTAACACCCAAACAATTTGAACATTTATGATGTTAAAACAGAAGGGATGCATAAAATCCTAAAAGAGTATAAAATTAAAATTTGAGTACTTCAAGGTGTAAGAATGTAAAAAGAACATTCAGCTTCTCAGAGAACTGCAATAGCATTGTCTTACACTTTGTAAAGAAAAACTTTAATACTTACGTAATATTGGGATCCACTTGTTTGTAAGCATGGGCTGCACAAGATCCACAATAGGTATATCCTGCGTGGCTGCAAATCAAAGTGTACAAAATGTTAACATGTTAAATATTGCTTAACATCCTAAATATGCTGATATTGCTATTAAATGTTAATATCTTCAATATTATTTGCCCACAATGACCTAGAAATAGTAAGAGTGATCCAAAAATCAACTCCTGAAAGAGCTGGAGAGCGCTGTTCCAGTACTGAACGTACGAGGGACATATTTGTTTAAAAAAATATCAGTGACCATTACTTGAAAGTTAGTACATAAGCCTCCAAGTCAAAGCACCTTTTGTTACTTGTAAAAGATATTAGTAGGCAGACTGCACAACTGCATATTATCAGAAGCTCTTAATAATGCTAAGAATGCAGCCAGGGGACAAGGGCATAGTAAGTTGCTGGAGAAAGCTCTTCTAAACACACTCCAGGAACTGAATATGATGACAGTGAAGGGATCAGGCAAAGAGAGACTACACATTACAGCAGATACACAGAGAATAAAAAAAGCTCTGTCATCGGAGAAGAATACCTCAGCCATAGAATGAATGGGCACAAGGAAAGGAGTGGAATGCAGCATGCTAGCTTTTATCACAGCTAATGGGATACATGCTTTATTTCCTATTACTCTGGCCTGGAGCCTTTCTCGACCTGTATTCCTATGTGTGCTCCAAAAACATTCATCATTTTTCTGACTAGTTGTTTCAAATATCACATCCAAATCTTAAGACCCATTCCCTTGAAGACCGTTAAAAACAGAAGATTCAGTTTACACCACTAAAAGCATGAATTCCAGAGGACATTCATTCCCCAGGGTCCCAGGCCAAGTGATGGAGAACAGCTCATGGTCACTCAGCAGCATGTCCATAGCAGAAGGCAATGCCCACGTTGCACAGCGCTTGTGCCACATTGCCTCTGGAGCTTATCTGGAGTGCCTAGGTCAATAGTTACTGTTGATTTTGCATCAAATATGTGCAACAACACAACTGCAGCTTTCCAGGTGGTCTTTTTTACAACGATACTGAGAATGATACAGGCTGCAAGTCCTGGGACATACAGGCTGTTTGAAGATACAAGTTCCCCAGTGACAACACTATACAAGTTTATATTTATTTATATGTATGTATGCTCGCACGTGTGTATATTCATCCAGAGTGATACCTGTAGCAAGTTACCCTCAAAATTACCCTGGGATTTTACTTCCATTTCACTGACCTCACTCATTCTAAAGAGCTCAGAAAGGTACTAACATACACACCAAGTGGATAAACAGGAGACTGAGACCTAGTGAACCAGCGAAGTGTGTTATTTGACAATGTTGAAAGAGCCTTCTGAAAGGTTCCCTCTGCTACAGGCTTCTTCAGTCTTCCACAAAAATATTATTAGCTGTATCCCACTTAATAGGTGGGAAAACAAAGGCGTGGTTAACGAAATTTGATAAGACAACAGGAAGATCTCCAGCAGTTCTAGAAAAAGAACCCAGGTTACTTAATCCTCAGCTGAAAGGCCTCTTTCATGACATTCCTGTGAGAAAGACTAAGGCAGATTTGGGACAATTTCTCTGCACGTTCAATACTATTATGGAATACTTCAAACATGTCAATGCTATGTTAGCACAAGAAAAACATCATATTTAAGGTGCTTCTTCTAGTATTTCCTTACAATTCATAAGAAAAGTATGTTGGTCATTCCAATTTATTATTATGTGTCTCAACTATCTTCAGGAAATTGAATTCTACCTGAATAGTTTAGGTGATCTCTATTTCTCCTGTGGACAAAAAAAAAAAAAAAACAAAAAACCACAAGCAAAACCAAACTAAAATAACAAAAGTAAACCATTTTGGATAGCTGAATAGTGTTTCACTACTTTTTGTTTTAACTTTGCTGAGTTTTGATTTGTGGGGGATGCTGGAGTTTTGTTTGGTTTTTGTGTTTTGTTGTGGGGTTTGGTTTTTTTTTTTTAACTATGTGTAGCTGTTATACTAGAAGTGCATTGAAAGAGCTGTTACCTTAGACTATCACTCCACTAATACACTTCTGATCTGTCTTACTGGATCACAAATGAACATTATGTCTTCAGTCCATCAGTAAAAGGAAAACTAAACATATACAAAAAAGTGCACAGATTCCTTCCGTTCTATGCCATATCCAAAATACTTACTTAGAAACCACACTACATGCCTTTCAGCTAAATACTAGCTTTCACCAGTTTTCAAAATCACTCAAAATAAAGCAGCATTTAACCAATCAAGTATTACATATACTAAAAACAGGTTTCAAACTTACGGTGCAATAATGGCTCTAGCAGGTCTCTTTGTGGATTGTACTTGAGAAAGCCAACCTTCTAGCTGTGCATTCAACTGGGGTCCTATGAAGAGACAAGGAAATACTGAAGCCATAAGCAAAAAAAATCTAAAATGCCTCAAGAATTACCAAATAAAGTCCGAAAGTCTAGATTTAAAATCATCTTAAACATCAAAGCCTGTGTTTAAATCTAAAAAAACCCCAAAACCAACCCAAACCCAACATGTCTGTGATGTTGAAGGTTACAGTAGGAAAGTTTCAACCTCCTAGTCCAGGAAGTTAGAATAATTTAGGTTGGAAAAAGACCTTTAAGATCATCAAGTCCAAAGTTCATTTATTGCACATCCAAACACACACTTGTTCTGTGGACTGATGCACACACCATTTCATCATTCTAATGACGTAAAGGATGCGAGGCTAACAGATGATTGATTCCTCTGGTGACAATATTTGCAGAATTCAGAAGTAAAACGTTAAGGTGACCTAAACCAAGAGAGCTTGATATGGGAAGATGACATAATAGAAAGACCTTACATACTGACATGATGGCCAATGGCTATGGTATTTAGTCTCTTATTATTATTAAGCAAGCACAAGAGCAGAACATAAAGCAGACTATAACCTGGAAAAACTGTAAATATGCAGGAAAAAACTGAAAGTGAGAAGACATCATGCTTATAGCAATGCCTTAACTTATGATTGAAGTTTACATACTGCAATGATTTAAGTTTACATACTGCAAGTACGTAAACTTCTTGGCAACGTTAATTTTGCTAATTGGTCAATCCACTATTTAACTTCTTTTTTTAAACTAAATTCTGTACCTCAACAAGTGGCAAATATTCTCAATCAATTAGCCAACAGGTGATAAAAATGCCTTCTAGAAATAAAGCATTAAAAAAATACAATTTGGTTATTTCCCATCACAAAGAAAACTTTTTGATGTAAAGCTATTCCTGAAGAAACAAGCTGGCAAATACAGTGTAACATTCCTCATACTAAAGAACACAAACCAAACTTTCAAGTAAAACTCATGCAGCTGCTATTGTTACAAGCAACATATCATTAACAAAGAGAAAAACAGATGCACTTTTTCCAGTTGACACTAAGCTTTTGACAGAACTGTATGTCAGCAGAGTTTATCTGTAAAGTAGGGTGCAGTAAGCTGCTTTTCTTCTACCACACACGTTGTAGATTTTTGTATCTTCCTGGTGCAGGTGTAAAACCACCAACTGCCAGGGAAAGTGAAAACCAGATTAGATACCTGAAACTATTTCACAGCTGTGTTCCAAACAGCCGAGATCTCAAGCTGACGGCTCTCCAAAAACCTGACAAGAACTACAGAGAATCGGAGCAAAGACGTCAACTTTTGCAGAATCCCATCAGTCACTCACCAGCGATAGCCAAAAAGCTTTCTTGAGAAAACCAGGTGGGAGGGAGAAGGAGGGAATCAAAGCCACTGTTTTTTATAGAAAACTTAAATTCACATGGTTCATGAAAAAAGGACAACTTATCTGGTTGTAAAGAGCCCTACCTTGTTACATGAAGAAGGTGAACTAGTGCAGTACCGTTTCTCTTAGCCTACAATCACCTTGAATGCCTTAGTTGCTGTCTACAGCTCTAAAAAGGCAAAAAAGTGACATTGATTAGCCACTGTCACTCCTGTAATATAGTGGCTTTGTGAAATGATGAAATTGTCAAAAACACCCACACACCAATTTTGTTCTGCTGCTTCTGTTGCTTGGGGAAATTACAAGCAGCAGAGACATGCAAGGGAGATAAGGATAATGACATCTTAGAAAATGGAGGCTGTTGGGGAAGCTAAGTAAAAATAAATAGATATCTATTTCCATCCTCTTTCTAAGCTGCTAGTAGACTAACAAAACAGTACTCTATTACACTCTTATCACTTTTATTTTTTATATACTTAAGAGTGAAGATACAAATCGCTTCAAAATTTTACTTCCTAATTCTCCCAAAGCAAGTAGAAGGATAAAGTACCTTCTGAAAGAAGCTCTTTAGAGTACATTTTTTTTTTTCTCAAATGCCTACCACCCAGAAACTTAAACAAAAGATGACTCTGCCCCACCTGACCTCTTCTCCTCAAAGAAGATCCACAGGCAGCACAACAGCAGAAGGGCCAGAACCTCTTAAGCAAAGCGAGACAGCCGTGGGACCCTCTTCCCCAACAGGGCACAGTTCTTGGTCTTCCTCCATCCCTTCTTTAGCAAGGACTTGTGGTTAAGAAGGTGGTTACAGTGATTTGTCTTTGGTTAGAACAAATCAGGTAACTTGCTGAACAGTTTAAAGACAAAGTTCAGAATCTCTGTTAACTTCCTAAAATGACTGTTCAAATCTGGCCAAAACTTCTGATCTTAGAATGTAGTAGCAGAGTAAGATGCCCAATTGCTCAGTGCTATTATAGACACACTCTAACAAAATAACATTTTTTTTTCCTAGAGGCAGTAAAATAACAGATCTGTATGACCCAAGGGATGAAACTTCTGTCAGTGTTTACTTAAGGACCAGTTAAAGCATCTGCTTTCAGATTTTTGTCCCTTTGCTGCAACTGCAAGGTACCTTTTTTGATCATTAACTGACCTAATGTAAGCTTCCATATCAACTGATACTTAATTGTACTATTTTAATAAAACATGTAATCAAACCTCTCTCTCCAAAGGACTAACAGAAAGAGAGAATGGAGAGTACAAACACATCCACATGACCTTTTAGCTAAAGAAAAAAAATAAAAATCAAACAGCACCCACACGAACTGACAGGATTATAGCCTACCTGCAGCTTACTATGCCTACAAATACTTTTAAGGGGGATATTCTAAAACTGTGACTTTATTGTTACAAAATTAGCATCAACTTTTTGTTGAAGTGTTCAGAGAAGTTTTTCTTCCAATTTCTCAAACATGACAGTGCTTAAGGCTAAAGTCAAAATATTTGAACTGGATATACAAAATATAAACCAACCCACATTATCACAGTAGATATGCTCTGCCATATGGAATTGTATTATAGGAGAGGAGTAGCTTCTTCATGAAGAGCTCCATAAGTAAGTTTTGTTCATATGTAAATGAAATTAGACTGGAAAAAAGTCTTTTCAAATAATCACTGAGATAACTTCAGTAAATATCCATCTCCTAAGCTGACAAGCATGGGTGAGGAATAACGCTGCTGCCTATTTATCCTCCTGCTGCAGTGGTGGGAATTAGGAGAGGTCCCTGCTCCTCAAGCCACAGGTGGAAAGCCCAGCTTGAGAAAGCTGGTAGGATGAGCACAATGGGTTTTTTAAGGCTAACCCAGACAGAAGGACAGAAAGCCTTATGGATGTAACAATCAATACACTTTAGCATTAATACTGTAAGATCAGACCTTTTATTGATTAAAAGAAGATTAGGAGCAAAATATCAGCTTCACTGAAGCACAGAGCATTAAGATTGGCATTTCAATCCTATGAAGTAAGGTATAAATATAGGTATGTAACTAAAGAATGCTGACATTATCTGCGGATATTTCACATCCTGTTTTGTTTGGGAAACTGGCATGAGTTATGCCAAATTAAAAATAATTGCAAGCACAGACCAAGTCTAAACCAAGCAAATTTACAGATACAGCTACAGGCAGCATTTATTCAAATGCCTTGCCTAAAAGGACAAATTATTTTTGCAATCAATGTTATCCCCTCACAGAGCACTAGAGTAAGTAAGAAGGAATCCTTCAATGTTAAATGCATGCCAGTGTTACCCAATGAATAACAACACAAAGACATCCGGTAGTCACATGCTTAGGTTCATCACCTCAATTTATAGCTGTCGTGGTCCAGGCTTTGTGGGTTAAGCCAAACCAGCACATTCTTTCCACAGCCAAGCCTCATCACATGAGGCTAAAGTGCTTATATGCCCAGTGTCAACACAATATGATAGGAACTTGCTCCTGTCCCAGCAGCCACCACTACTAGTGTTTCAGATTGGCAGGGAAGATGCAGTGCTTACTCCGAACCCTCTGTCTCAGTGAATGCTTTTTTACTGGAAGACCATAAGCCTCAACCAAAATTCAGAGCAGCACCAGGGAAAACTGCTCAGGTCTCCCTTGGTTGCACATGTAAAGCACTTGCAGCAATGCAAGTAATGCTGGAGCACAATGACAGTAACGCTGCAGTCCTCAGCTTTCACACTTCTACTTGACAGCTTTTACTTGTCTAAGCATGACTCTTAACCTATAGGAGACAACATTTTTTTTCTGAGCCTTACTCCTTTTAACTACCTTTACCCATTGATGAAAAAGTCTAAACCTTGAAAATACTTCTAGTAAATATTACAGCAGATGTATTAAGTAGTAAATAAATTCCTGTAGAGTGTTAGAAAAATCAAGGCAAGTAACAGTGAAACCTTGGGGGCTGGCACACAATTAGTTTAATAACTGGAACTAAGGCAACCCCTCTCTCCGCAACTTTGAAGATGAATCCAAAACATTAAATTGTGAGGAAAACTCCAATCTGAAACATGACAGAGGACTAACTAGTTTCTCTTCCTAGTTAAAATTGCAGAAAGTATAAGGACTGTTTTAAACAACACAGGTCTCACTTGGGAAAAAAAAAGAAAATCTCTGTTTCTCACTGCAACAAAAGCCAAATCCTTGAATAAACAACAAGTTTTACCTATGCAAAGACTAGGACTTGTCAGGAATTGAAGGTGATTTCCAACAACTCATGTTGATGGGTACATTCCCTACTGCTAGCATATACTCTCTTCCAATACTGAATACTGATGAAACAGTAAAATCAGCCTATAAGCAAGGCAGAAATTTACTTATGCAAACTATAGGACAGGGGAATCAAAAAACTAAGATACAAATAAAGATTACACTGATGCTACATGAACTCCTATTATACACATTGTAAGACAACAGCAGGTAATGCTTGAAGGAGGAAAATAAAACTGAAGCCACAACAGAAACATTGAAATCTGCTTTGGTGGCAGTTCTCACCTGCATGTCCTAGTTTTCCAGTATTCCACTAGCTCTTTAATTTCTTTTCCTGTAAGTTATTAGGAAA